TATTTAATTACATTGTAATTATACTATACATTGCACTTACATTCTTTATTGATAGCCTTGAGTCAGAATTTCAATATCTTTCATCATTTATTGCAAGAAAATGACAAAAAGTTATCTCTAAAAAGGAGCACATGACAAAAATTCATAAAGAAATATCTCCCTTCTACTCACAAATACAAATGTGGTAGGGATCGAAAGCTTAGAATCTGCGTGTTCCATGTAACTTCCAATTGCTTCAATGAGCTACAAGTGGGTAATAATTAATATGATGTAATAATTAGCATGATTTTATTATGGGCAGTGACATCTAAGGGTTAATTAAGGTTGTTTTTTCACCTAAATCTACTTTATATTATACTCATTGTGATAATTTTAGGCAATAATAGCTTGAACCGCAGTTAAAATCCCAAATAAGCCCATTTCATTAACTGACTGTGATAACTGCGACTTCTAAGAGTTATTCCACAATGCCTGTTCGTGCCTGATCAAGAACCACGACCACCTCAGAGGCCTCCAAAACCCATCAATCCAAACTTAAACATGCCAGAACTGCTCTTCCCAAGGCCTATTTTATTGTTTACTAGCTTGGTACCTCCAGCAAGCTAGAGCACTTACTGTAAGTGAAGGAAAATCAACCAGATAAGTGGATACAAACAGATACATCCAGCTTCAGCCACATGAAGCCAATCTCTATTAGACATGCTGAGACATGGTAGGGCTTCTTCCTGTTATTTAAGCAATCAGCTTCCCCTTAGAGTTTATGTTTTGCCTGTGCAATTCAGCCAAGTTCTAGATACTCAAAAGGAGTGCGGAGGTGACCCTGGGGGTCAAACAGAGAACAAAAGACTGAGGCAGAAAGGTCAAAGTGTTAAATACTGTCCCACAGCCAGGTTTACAACCCTGCTTCCCTTTGCAGAAGTAAGCATAGCCTCTACAAAGCTCGTTTCCTGACCTCTTCCCAAAAGCTGAGCAATCTTCTGACCGACAGCCACTGCTTTCTTTCGCCACCCTCACTTTCGGTAAACTGCTCGAGACTTGGCTCAGTTGACCTGCTGATTTTCCCCCAATATGAGCTCCAGAAGTGTGCGTGTATGTGTTGAATCAGCAATTTCTCACAGCTCCTGTGCCTCAGTTATGTTTATTTGGTCACATTTGTATGGCTGTATAGATGCTTTACTGTGTGCAGGGAAACAGGATGAAAACCAAAGCAATATAAAATGTAATCTCAAAAGCAAAGGTAGTGTCAAATATGCTTCTGTAGGCTGAAACACACTGAGAAGGAAAAGAGCTCTATGCTTCAACCACTTGTCCACCTGTAGTCTATAGAAAAGGAATGTCATCATATTACGTCATGCTGTGATGCTGTCCTAAACCGGGAAAGCATTTTACGTTCAGGGTGGTAAAATTTTAAAGGCATGTATGCAAAAATATGAATGTCATCTAATCTTAAATAAACCCATAAAGATGTATTAGTTTTGTCCACTGTGAACGATTTCTACCACTCAATAATTCTGCTGGGGTTAACACAGGTTCTCTCAAACAGGCTGCTGTTGGTATTCTTGTTTGCTTACATTCTTCTGAAATGGGTAATAGATGCCATTGCCTTAGTGAAAATGTCACTTTTCAATACAGTGATAGATGCCATAACTTTTGAGGAAACAGCAACACACCAAAGCTCAGCCTACAATCCAAACTAACTTTCCAAACTCATTATTAGCCCAAAGTGAGATTAAACTGTACACACATACCAATCACATGTTGTTTTAGTCATTCACCCCTTGGTACAGGACCTCTACTGGCCATTTGCTGGCGCAGTGGAAATTAACTGCGATATTTTTAATCAATATACATTACTTGTGAAAATTTAGTGTCACTTGTCATAAAACAGTTGTTATTCAGTAATAATGTATACAATATAAAGGGAAATGCTTAAACCAATACCAATAACACTCTTTTAAGTATCAGTAACATATCAGTGAAGTAGCTGTACTGCAGCATCTGAATACACTAATAAATATCTTGAAGTTGTACTGCTGATACATTAATTACATGAAGTAGACTTTATATGTTACTTCCATTAAGCAAAATCTCACCTTAACCAGTCTTACCCAAAGCCTAACCCTAACCTCAACCTCAACTCAAAACCTAATCCTAGCCCTCACCCTGGCTCTAATACTAACCCTAACCTTAACCTCAACCCAAAACCTAATTCTAACCCGTCAACCTGGCCCTAATCCTCACCCAAACCTCAACCTCAACCTAAAACCTAATCCTAACCCTCATCCTGGCCCTAATCCTCACCCAAACCTCAACCTCAACCTAAAACCTAATCCTAACCCTCATCCTGGCCCTAATCCTAACCCAAACCTTAACCTCAACCTAAAACCTAATTCTAATCCTCACTCTGGCCCTAATACTAACACAAACCTTAACCTCAACCTAAAACCTAATTCTAATCCTCACTCTGGCCCTAATACTAACACAAACCTTAACCTCAACCTAAAACCTAATTCTAATCCTCACTCTGGCCCTAATACTAACACAAACCTTAACCTCAACCTAAAACCTAATTCTAATCCTCACTCTGGCCCTAATACTAACACAAACCTTAACCTCAACCTAAAACCTAATCCTAACCCTTACTCTGGCCCTAATACAGTTATACATGAACACTTAAAGAACGCTCTGCATTAAAGTGTTCTTCAGATTGATGGAGAATGTGCTGTAGATGGTTTGATTTAGCACCCAAAAGGGTTCTTCTCTTGTTGTCAATGTCAAGCCTGTAACAATAGAAGAACCCTTTTTGGTGCTATATAGAACTCTTTTTGAAACGGTTCTGTATAGAACCATCAAGCTTCATCAATCCAAAGAACCTGATCATGCAAAGAGTGTTCATTTTTCTATATAGAATCATTTTCTTTACTAAAGAACCCTTGAAGAACCATCATTTTGAGTGTGTACAAACTATTTGGAATGTGTAAGAAAGTAGTTTAATTGTAGAATCATTATGCATGTGCCTTCAAAGAAATTAGTTTTATCTGAATGAAAATTATTGACCCAAAACTTTTGCGCAGTCGTGTAATCAAATAAGATATTTTTTCCTGGAACTTTGTTATCAGATGAACTGTTTTCTCTCTGTGTGTGAAATGTTGTGGCTCTCTACAGTCTCTACACATCTCTACACACATCATGATAAGAAAATGTTCTTGACCTGCTTGCACAGATAAGAAGATGAAAATCCATCTAAATATATTCTATCACTGTTACGGAAGAAAAGATGCAGAATGCAGAATTCAACTAGGGATGGGAACCGAGAACCAGTTCCAGTTGAGAACTGGTTTACAATTGTCTGATCCATTGGAATCATGATCAATTCCTTTTATTAGTACTGGTATGTTTTTATGATAATAAAAATTCAAACTCTGTGACATGACATCAAACTCTGCGTCTACACTGCTGGAAACTTGCAACAAGTAGGAGTCGTGGTGGAGAGGAAGATATATGGCTTCATTTCACAAAGGAGGATGGCAACAGTGCTACTTGCAATGTCTGTAAAATGATCGTTTCAAGTAAAGGTGGAAACACCAACAATATATTTTGACGTAACACGGCCTGAAATTCGATGAGTGCCACTGCTTCCCAAATGAGGAGCACTTTCATTATCGAGGGTAAATATCCTGTTATGATATAATTAACGCCACATAGGAAGGCTGAGCAGGTTTTTTCTCTGACTAATAAAACCTTGAAACACTTTATTTTGAGTCCTTTTTAGATGATTGATAAACTCTTGACAGAGTATCAGTAACGTATCAGTGACGTAGCAGTGAACTGGCAGTAGTACAGCATCTGAATACATTGATGTCAATATCTTGAAGATGTACTGTTGATCCATTACTTACATTCAGTAAATGTATTGTTTAGGTTATATGAAGTATACTTTATATTATACAGTACTTCCATTATACAAAACCCTCACACTGGCCCTAATCCTAACCCTAACCTTAACCCAAAACCTAATCCAAACCCTCACCCTGTCCCTAATCCTAATCTTAACTTTAACCAAAATCTAATCCTAACCCTCACCCTGGCCCTTATCCTGACCCTAACCTTGACCTCAACCCAAAACCTAATCCTAACCCTCATTCTGTCCCTAATCCTAACCTTGACCTCAACCCAAAACCTAATCCTGCCCCTTGCCATGGCCCTAATCCTAACCCTAATCATAACCAAACCCTAATCCAGTGAAACTCCAGGTACAGAATGGTGTCAGTGTGTCTTTAACAGCTTGTTGAGGATGTTGAGATGATCTATATTAAACCTGTTACACGTTCAGTTGCTCTCAGATTAACATCTACAGATTTAAACTTGGACACTTCAAATAAAGTGACAAACAACTAAATTCAGCAAATTATAAAAAAAAATTGTTAACACAGTAAATTAAGAGGTAATTGGATAATTTCAGTATCCCTTTCTGTCATTAAAGGCTCTTGATAATCTACTGAATGTTTTCACTGCTGTTACATCATTGATATGTAGCTGATAAGTTACTGAGAGTCTTACTGAGAGTCTATTGAGTGTTCATTTATTCTAGTGTCACCCAAATATTTTATCAGTCACTTTTATATTTGTTTTCTGAGTTATATCATTAAAAAAGGAGCATTGTAATTCATTTTAACATGTTCAAATGTTATTAGTCAGACATGCTACACTGTATTCAGAATAATAAAACAGCTGTGTTGATGCTGAAAACCTGTGTAGGTCTGCTTGACTGATCAGGAATCAATAAGAGATAACTGATAAGTATCAGACCGATAGGCAGAATTAAAGCAGGCATTGGTATCAATAAAATCTTATCAATTCCCATCCCTAAATTCAAATGAGGGAGCACAAAAATGGGCAGACATTGCCTTTTATGGCTACTGTCTGTAGAAAATGGGTTACCATCAGACACTAGCATTCAATCTCTGAGTGAAGAATGTGAAGCAGCTCTGTTCTCTTACCTCTTCTTCTTCAGTCCTGCTGCATGGCTGTGATCTTTCCCCCAGTCGTTTGTCCACAGCACTGAGTGGTACAAGGAGGTGGGGGTGGTCTGATGGTGTTATGCAGAGTGTATGGGTTTCCGGGAAATCACTGCACTTGGAATCATTGTGTCAGAAGAAAACAGGATCTTTCAGTTTCCCTTTCAGTTTCCTCTGTGGGTAGGCTCTCTGAGAAAACAGAGGGGTAACCATGTTAGCTATGACAACCATTTAAAAGCTGCTCCTCCAATTAACCCCGTAAATGGCCAGGGCCAACCGGCGGGCCCACCAGCGCGCCCACCAAATCAAACACTGTCATCTTGAAGCTGTGTTATATTCAGTTATGTTATGCTGACAAAGTCTCGCTAAAACTTGCTTTTATGCTCAGCTAAAGGGACAGTAATGATGTGTTAACATCAGTGACGTGTCCATACTGACTGCAAGACTATTTACCCTGCAGTAGCCTACCACTGGTTGTCTAAATGCCTGTTAAGAAGCAGCCATTAGCATTAGCATGCTTACTTACAGCTTATAACTGGTTTAGTGCATATCAGAGATGGACATTTTGACCTGACTTGCTACTCGACGCATGCTTAACTGGCTCTTTACTCGACTCGAGCCAGTGAAAAAAAAGCAAAAATATTTTTTTTGGATTAATAAGTGAACTTTCTGAAATAAATGCCAAGAAAATTATTACTTGGAAAAGGAAAAGTGCTAAAATTTGGGCATTAATATATCATTTTTGGTGGCAATTGCTGGCATAAACATCAAGCAATGATGTTTCAATCCAGGCTATTTGGGGAGAAAGTTACACAGATCCTTGATCCAGTATGAATCAAATTATGCACAAATCACATTACCATACCTCCTCTGGGACTAATCCAGCTTGAATAGGGCTTTAGCTGTGGAGGTGCTTCAATTTGAGTTGCCAAAGAGATCTGTGATTTTAATCTGGTATGAATCTACAATGTCCATAGTTTTTACAAGTCTGCTAAGTAATAATTACCGTATTTACAAAACTTGGAGCTCCCTCAGTAACTATAGTCCAGTTTGCATTGACATCACAGTAATGTAATAACAAAACCGGGTAATTAAAAACACTTTGTTTTTTACGCCCTGAAGACAAGGCTAACAACCAAAGTATTGAGCCAAAAACCAAATCTCAGCCTATTTATCAAAACTGACTTTCCAAAACTGTCATTATATATTAACACCAGCTGCAAGCATTACAGATCTGCTTGGAATATGAAGCAAGCACATTCTCTTACTTTATTCTCTCGATTACGTCCAGATGTGGTCTCCTATCTAGTTGTCCGTTCCCAGGGCCGAGCCGAGCAGCACTGAAGAGGGAGGTTTATTGCTCCTTTTTATAGGCAGCTTTGTGCACATTGAGTGGGGCTTTCCTGGAGCCATGATGCAAGCAAAAAAGTGTCTTTCCGTTTCCTTTTCTCTGTTGTGAGTAGTATCTCTTGCACAGTGAGGAAATAATATTGGATAAATGAATTTCTAATTTATCTAGATTTTTGAAAACACTACATAACACAGACACAGACATGCCATTAAGATATGCTGTCATCACTTATCATGACAGATTTTGTTCAGTAATATAACAGTGTCATGTTGGAATTGCTGGTAATTTTATGAGGCAGGGTTTAATACTGTGGATTTCAGTACTTTCACTTTCAGTATCTCTTTCTGTCAGGTCCCCTTCTCTCACACATGCGCACTCTATACATACACATATTAAAGCTTTTCAGTTCCGGGAAATTACTGCTTGGCCTTTCCATTTGTGCAATTACTCTCACTTGCTGTGTTTACATGCCAAGATTTTTGCCAATCTGATGGAACAAATTCTGATTATAGATTAAGACTGAGGTGTTTATATGCTCACTCTACTCAACAATCTGATGAAAATCTCCATTTACATGCACACAAGTAAACCAATCCAAAAGTATGCATATATGTAGAGAACCACTTAGTGTAGACGTTACCATGACAACGAGCATCACAAGTCCAGTCAGAGTGAGATGAGCAGCAGTGAGCAGTGCTTGTGTTTTGAATTACTTTAAAATGATGTCAGGCTCAGGAAAATGTTCTTCACGTGTCCTTATTAAAGAAGGGGGAGAGGAAGACATCGTGTTCTGAGACACATAAGATGGATGCCCGTCTCATCGCCGTCTTTTAAAGTTCAAAGCATAAACTTCGTCTCCTCTGCAGACCAGTATCTGCTCCACCATGTTGGACGTTCTAAACTTTCGCTATGACGCACAGAACGTACTTAAATTTCTGATTGGGAATGTAATCAGATACAGGCGTTTACATGGTTATTATTCTTCTGTTTAACAGATTATTTACATGATTACCCACCTCGTTCAATCGGATAGAAATTGTGTTCCCAATGGAATAAACTAGTCCGATTGAAGCGTGTACATGGACGCATTCTATTCTGATTGAACTATTAATCTGATTAGTAACGGATTATTAGGCTGCATGTAAACATGGCTAATGATGATGTTTACAAGCACAGCTGTTGGAGCTGGTTTAGTTTTAGCTGGTGAGGTGATGTTCATATAGTAGTCTTGTTCAAATTGACACAGTAATATAATAACAAAACTAGGTAATAGAAAATGGCAATCCCCAATATTCATATGTAGTATATGGTAAAGTCTCCTCCTTTGTCCAGTGTCACTTTTCTGTACCATATTTGCCATTTAGCTGCACAATGTGTTGTCCCTGCATGTGGACATCCACCTTATTTATTGTTTTCATGGAAACGAAAGGGAGTTTTGGAGAGCAGATCTGGAGCCAGAATTATCACATGACATTTCCAGGTGGACATATGTTAAACCAGCACATAATCTTACGGAAATGGCCCACTTCTTTGGGACTCAGGGCTTCAGATGATTTCAATCAGACTGAACATTCAATCAAAGGTTTCAAATGGAGGGTCACTGCCTTTGAAACCTCATTGTCCTCCTGGGTGTTGTACTCCATCTCGTTGCAAAGGGGCTCCTGCTGCTCTGGGTAATGGAAGCCCCACTGCATACTGTGAGATTGATATGCTTGTGTGGGCATAGTCCAAGATGTGGACATCTCTAGATCATAAATCGAAATAGGCTGAAATAGGTGATCAGTATTAGGAGATTCTGACAGTAGGTGGTGAAGTGAGGACTCAGGCCCTTTACTAGAGCCCAGAAACTGGTTCTTCATACAAGGCAAAGAAGGAATAAGTACAGCCTTGTTCAATCTTATACTGTAGGTTAATCCAAAGATCAAGTCAAAAGTGATAGGACATTTAATGATTATAAATTGTACTTGGGGACATTTAATCTTTTAACATTACATATCGTCGCTGTCCAATGAAAAACAAGTATCTCCAAAATAGTAACTTTACAGGAGAGGGCAAAAACACTCTTAACTTTCAATGTAAGTCAATGTAAAAAGATTTTGTTCCAAGTGATTTTAGAGCATTTCTATAGGTCCATGCATCATGAACTTTACGCACAGCGTAAAGGACAACTGGTGTGTTGAAATGATGTAGAAAACAAAATATCGACTGAATGGAGAGACATGGTTTTCTTTGGACACTGACGATCACTGGTAAAAATGCTTTTATTTTGCATTCTTTCCTAATTAACACAATTTATTTCATAACAATTTGCATGAAAAGTAGAATCTTTGAATGTTTACATGGATTTAGATTTTATTGGTATTTGCTACTGTATGTCTTCATTTTATTTTATGACAGTGTACACTTGAGCTGGCATGGACTTCAAGAGTTTGTGCAAAAGTATCTGATCATTAGATCAAATCCACCTGAGAGTCATCTGAATTTGACCTTCAATGGAATAAATACGACCAAAAAATCTGACATTTTTGTACAAACACTTGAACATGGTCAATTTCACAAATTTTACAAATAGTGACCTAGAAATAGTGCAGGATTTTAAATATTTCTTTATTTTCTTCTTCATTCTCATAATCTTTTTTTTGTTTAAAATTTGTTTTGGACTCCACTATACACTGATAGATTTGCCATGTTATTTCTAAATGACTGGGACTTTTTGAAACACGGCATTGATAAACTATTAATACATCCGTCTACCACTCCTTCATCCCAGAAACCTCCCTGCTGGTAAATTTATTCAGGCATCATTGTACAAGATCATGAGGATATCCCGGTACTCTGGATGTTACAAAGCAGAGGATGTAATCAGTGAGCAAAACAAGTAGTCCATTGCTGTTCTTGGTGTAGTATTGGGGATTGCCAAATTGCTTCAACAAATGAGTTGATAGTAAAGTCAAGTTGAACAATAGAGAGCTCAAAGGGAAGCTCTGCACTATGGATTCCAGGGGAAATATCACACACATCTCCGAAGTCAATTTAGGCTGATGGACTGGGGGAATTACAGAGTGGAGATGAAAGATGAGCCAAAGCCAAACCTACACTCAAGAATATGTGTAAGCTTACTGTATGCATGCTGTTTATGATAAATGAACTGCTTTTCATGACCATGGATGATGAAGAAAATGCCCCAAAATTAGCCAGCAGAAGATGCAAATCCAGTGTTTCTTGAAATAAAAGTGTTAAAAATAGGTCTTTGAAGTGAATCTACACTACACTACTACAGGGGCAGTACCCCTCTTGTCACTGGGGTGGTACCCTCAGGGGTACATCTTAGTACCTTTATTCAGGGAACATAACTGTACCATAATTTACTGAAATGTTATTTTCTAAGTTGTATTGACTCCACACACCCCGTCTCGTCTCCAGGCTTTTTATTGTATTGCTCTGTTTTAAAACATCAGGTTAAACAAAAACTTTCTTTAGATGCACAGTTGGACCTTAAACCCACTGTTGTACCTTTGAGGGAACATTACATTGTTTGTACCTTGATGAATGAAAAACAGAACCTTTATTTCTAACAGTGCATAGAAGAAACAGTTTTGGCCTCCTGAAGCAGTGGTTCTCAAACTGGTCCTCAGGGACTCCTAGATTGTTCAAGTTTTTGCTCAATCCTCAAAGCTCTCTAGCGCTTAGGGCGCTAGCCCTATTAGGTGTGTTCTTCTTCCCATTGTTGTCAGTTCCTCTTTCAGTTGTTGTAATTCCAGTAATTATATGAGACAGCCACGTTATATGTTTTTTTTTGTTTTTTGTTTTTTTTTCAGAAGACATGTGGTTTCTCAAATATGTAATCACCTGAGTTGTAAATGTCCACAGAAGTATGATATTTTTATGAAACTGGACATGTTTTGATCAAAATTTTACCAAGTGTCATTTTTTTTTTTTTTTACTTATTTTTGACTGTATCAATTCAGAAAATCAATTCACAGCTTAGATGTCTATTAGAAAGTTTTAGAATAAAGTGTCTGTGAGGTGAAAATATAAGAATTTTGATGATTGTTCATTACATGGCTTATTACTGTCATATAGTATATGAGTAGCATCAGGCGGACTTATTTTTCTTGATATTCTCAACTGTAGGATACATGCAGATTGCTAAAACTAACCCTAGACAGACTGACACAGCAGGCCAAGCCTTTGAGTTTCTTGTTCAAGGCCAATATGGCTAATATTCCAGCTAAAAAACTGTTTTAGTACACTGGGTGTTTACAGCTGCTAATAATAACAATTACTCTTATAATGAAGAGTCCTTCCACAAATGATTAGATACATACTGGCTTATTTAGAAAACACACAAAAATCTATATCAGTCCAGTGGTGTTGGACGGACGCCAAAAGACTCTGAAGGTGCGCGCGCATCTCTTCAGTGTGCTCGGCTGGATGCGCGCGCATGCGTGAACGCGCCGCTGCGAGGAGAGCACACAAACAGAGCGAGGAAAGTGGCTCTTCGGCCGAGCGCATTGACGGAATGCACGCGCAGCTTCAGAGCTGGCTAAGTGGTGGAGCGCACTGAAGAGGCATTTTCGGTGGATAATACTGACTGATCTAATCAAATATTTGATTTGAAACACCACGTAAATATTTTAGAAGCCCTAGAAGTAAATAATAGTAGTGGAAATAAAGCAAAATGCAGAGTTTATGAGCACAGAAAAGAGTTTTACTTGAAGAATAAAACATAAACTTTGAAGGAGAGTCTATTTTTTTACTGCTTTTCCACAATGGATTACTCACAGATACTTCATCGACCGCGATGGCGCCGCTATTTTCAGAAACGGTAGGTTGCTGTTTCTAAGGATATTCTAAGGATAGTAAACTCATGCATTAAAGTATTGCTGAATTATAAAGCTGATAAGACAAGGTGTGATTTTTGACGCAAAACACGTCACTAGGGTCTATAGGGCTTGGTAGTAAAAAATGTAGACTATCCAGT